TTGATATTAATTTTAGTGTGATATGAATTTAATTAAATAATTAATAACTTAAATATTTATTTTTATTTTTTAATATAAATTTATGATAAAAAGATATATTTAATACACTCTTAAAAATAAATGTTAAAAAAACCCTAATAAAAAAAAATATCTCATAAGTTACAAGATTTTATTTAGATTTTTTTTTATTAATATAAGTATTAGTAAATTATATCCTTGAGGTGAAAGAAATAATAGAAAATTTCCAACTTAGTTTTAGAAATGTTAAATCTCAATTTTGGTCTCTGAATTATTATACGGACCTTCCATTTGATCCTTGAATTAAAGAAATCCTTGATTTGGTTTTTAAACTATTGTACGGACCTCCAATTAGGTCCTTACTGTTTGCAATTTCACCATAATTTGATCTCTGAGCTATTATTGAACAAAATGATCAACTTGGGGTTAAATTGGTAAACAGTAGGAATCAAATTGGGGATCCGTATAATAGTTTAGGGACTAACTCAAGGGTCCGTATAATAGTTTAGGGGCTAACTCAAGGATTCGTACAATAATTTAGGGATCAAATTATGAATTTTTTAATTTAGAGACCAAATCAGAGGTTCGTATAATAATTTAAAGGCCAAAATAAAGGTTTAACCTTTTAGAAAACAAAACTTGTGTCTTGCCTTGGATGGTACTCATCCTCTCACATAATTCCTTCAACCATAAGTCAAATAAAAGAGGCACGGGACTAAAAGATGGAGGACAGATTCCCCTTGCCAAGGGCAATTATTTTAGGGATGCATCCCTTCTGATTTTTGGGGTTGGGCACTAATCTTTATTATAGTAACTTAATGAAACAATGGTGGCCTGACAAAGGTGGTTAAGGACAAGGTGGCCAGCTGTGTAGGTCAATTTCTGTGGGCTGCCACGTGCTTCTTTGGGTTTTGCTAGCTTTTTTTTTTTCTTCTTTTTTCATTTTTCCCCTTTTCTCTTTTTGGTAATTGAGGGTTTGCTAGCTGGCTGGAGTATGAATATCAAATGTTTTCCGTGATCCATAATAATATTGTTATTATTAGGCCGTTCCAGAGCTCATGAAAGTGGCGTCAATTTTCTACTAATAGATTACCACTCTTGTTAAAATTATGTGTCTCTTTTTGGGTTTTTAAGGTTAAGAATATGATAATAATTATTTTTGATATTATTTAATATAAAATATAAAATATAATTTTTATTTAAATATTTTTAATTAAAATAATTTGTATTATATTAATGATAAATTAATGATAATTTTTATATTTTTAATACTAATTAATATTAAAAAATATAATAAGACATATTAGAAAAATCTTTTTTTTGGGGGGAGGGGGGGTTCTTGTTAAAATTATATCTCGGCTTATAGTAGTCGTACTACTTGTATAAAGTTTGAAGAGATGAGATTAATAAGAACAACAATGCACTTATGTATAATATTATTTTTTAGTATTAAACTTATTAATATTCAAAAATTATATTAGACTCTAAAAAAAAATTTATTCTAGTATTTTTTTTCTTTATTTATAAAATTAAAACTCAAAATATTATTTATAAAAAACTAAAACCCTTTTATTCTGATTAAGAGCTCATTAGATATCTTATGTGTAATACTATGTCCCTCCTATTCCTTCTCGAAAACCAAAACCAACATGGAGTACTGGGAATTTGATGAAACATCAATGCGCTTGCTTGTTTCTCATGCACTCCACACGGTTTGTTTGTTTGTTGGTCTTTTTTTTTTTATCATAACTTAAAACTTTGAAAATATTAAAGTATTTTATAATTAAAATCATGAGAATGATAATAAAAAAATTTTAAATAATTTTATAAACAATTTATATATTTTAAATGCGGTTTTTAAGTTGTGTCATAATTATGTAATTTATACATCACTTTAAAACTAATATATATAAAAAGTGTACATATTGATTTTGATTA